AGACAAATATCATTCATAAAGAATGTGGTAAATTTATGCAGGGAAGTACCCTGCATAAAATATGTTATGAATATCCTGTTTTATTATTCACAATAAGTAGAAAATTGAAGAGATTTTATATTTTCGCATCTAAAAATTTCAACCCGATTATGTTGTATACAGAATTTCTGTTAAATAGATTATCTTCCTACACATTCTTTCACAATTCTTTGACTTTTTCTCATATACCTCTAATAACTATAATATTTCTCATCTCATATAATTTCTATATAACCCAAATGTATGAATTTCAAAGTACAGGTCCTATCGTTCAAAATATTAAAAATAAGTCGATTGTGTTCGAGGAAACACATTTTAGAGTTATCTGCAGGCCCACCAGACAATCTGCTCCATCTGTCAATTTTTAATCACATTTTTCTAGATTCATTTCTTTTGACAGAGTTTTGTAAATTCAAATTTAATATATTAATTTGATTAATTTAATTTTGCCTGTTTCTCAAAAACACTTTTAGCTTCTGAGAATTTCGGGCTTTTAGGCCACCGTGGAAACCAGTTTTTTCCAGACGTTTTGCAAGCACGAGTGGCTTGCACTTTCAGAGGTGTTTTCCTTGGAAGCTTACACTGAACACACTGAATGTAGTCACATTCAGTAGAGCTATACTTGTTAAAGCACTTTGTTAAAGCTATACTTTGAATTCCAGGACATTGTCGTCGTTTTCCATATGGCAATTACTGAAAAAATTCAGTTTTTAGAAAGAAAACATGACTTTTCAAAATTTCCGGCGCATTAAGTTTTCCTGATTTTTTTTATTGAAAAACTAAAATTATTAAATTAATTCGGATCAGAAACGGTTATTTCTGAAACTCCATGTCTAATAGAGTTTTGAATATGTCGTTTTACATTTTGCACTGATGCTGTTTCTCAAAACTTTTAAACGACACTGGCGAGGTAAACAGTAGGTTTGTTTCGTTGGGCATTATTTATCTAAAATAACTTTCTAAGGTTTAATGCGCCCCCGTGAAAAACTACTAAACGTTAGTTAAAGTTAAAGTAATGAGGTAGTGGTCACTTATTTCCGGACTCTCTCTAGATATTTGAAATATATATAATTAGTAAAACCAAAATCACTAATAGTCGTCAAAATTTTAAAAATTAACTAAAAAACTACTCATTACTCAAATTTAATTACTTCTATTGTTAATTTCAAACTTAATGCCAGAAATTCTTTAAAAAAACAGGCAAGAATATATGTATTTATTTAATAGTAATAAGTTACAGTTAAATGGTTCTTTGTTAGAAACTCCAAATTTATGAGTCTAACCAAGCCTAAATCTTTTTTTTAAATCGACTTGATCGACGATTCTTCACGTAAAAGGTTCTTATCAACGTAGGTCCCATTGGATATTACGCTATCTTTATTTTTACTTGTTTTATAAAATTTTAGAATTAATGTTGTTAATTTCAACAAAAATTGACACCGAGTGTTTTTTTGAGAAGCAAAATTTTACTTCGACAGTTCCTTGAGACAAAACAAATTTTAATTACTTTTATTAACTCCAGCCTAATATAAATTCAAGCAAAATTAGATTATTTGATGCTGTTCATCGCACTTTTTCAACATCCATTTGCGTACATTTTTCAATATTTTTGAAGATTTTTTTTGTATTACCGTCATCGCTATATTTATTAAGTATTGCTTGTTTTTGAAATATATTTTTTTATTTGTAACTCAACTGAGCTAGCGGCTACAATTTTTGCTTACGTTATTTCATTTTAAATATTATGGGGCAATTTTCATCTTCCCTCCACTATGCTTCTTCCCGCCTGTATTTCAACAACGAAGCTGTTTTCAATATGTTATATACTATGATATTTTCATCATAAATTAGATTTTCTATCGACCGTTAAAGTCCGGCTATTATAAACTGACTCACCCTTTGTGAGCGAATTCTTAATGAGACAGAAAGTTCTTAAGAAGTAACAGGCTTTTCATCTAGTTTGTTCAAGCTACGATCTCTAAGTATTCCCCATTAAACAGTAATAACCAAATGAATCGAAAAAGTCCAGAAACAGTGGCTGAGAAAAATTAAGTAGCAAGCAAAGACATATGAGATCCTTTGAAATGTCTGAGAAAATGGATAGATACAGACTGGAGCACGAGACGAGGTCATAGCGTCCAAAATTAAGAACTAAGTTTTTCAAGATAATTCTTTTTTTATATATATTACAATATTAAACAAAAGAAAACATAGCTGGCCTATAATTAGTGACCATTTTCTATTAATAGTAAATGGGAATCATGATTGCGTAAATGCGAAACCTCTGATAAATTTGGACCTATACATTTACTCGGTCTGCTGAAATGCTCCCGAAACGCTGGATATAATATTCCCAATTTGTCACGCGCCCGATGGGGATATAAAAAAGTGGTGCTTGATACGGGTGGTAGTGCGAGGGAAAGGACTAATAATGAGTAACACGTTCTGCATACACTCAAATTGCCATACGTGATTTGTACTGCCATCCTATAGAACTGACTAGATATAGATAAAACTTTGCAATGATGTTCTGTTATCTTTTGAATTGGATTTCTTTTTGTTACCCTCCATAGCTTAATGATTAGAATGACTGGAACAAACTTTGCTTGAAACAAAGTATAATTGAAAATACATTTTTTTAATTTATTTTGTTTGATTTGCATCATTCTTTGATACGACTTCTAACCGGAATTTCAAAAACCACCGTCCTTAAATCTTAAATTTTTACTGGATTTTTAAACACAGTTTCACTATTAACAGTGAAGTTAAGAAGTAATATAAACATATTTTGCTTATTGGAAATATTGTATTTCTACAATTTTCGATTGTGTTGGTTTCCATATGAAGTCATGAATAACTTAACTATTTCATGCAATAATCCTCTTATTAAATATGCAATATGATAATATGAAATGAAACATTACTTGCAAATCGTTCATTCTAAAATCGCTAAAAATTTTAAATGGTGGAGTGAATTAGTTTTGTGAAGAACGTTGATAGATTTTTTAGTCGACCATGTTTCGCGGATTTTGTAATTGATTTCTGCTATTTTCAATATCAGTAGGTCGATTTTTAGGTCTACTTTTTAAATTGTTATAAAACTAATCAATATCCAAAGTCAACACTTTTTTCGGTATATTATATTAGATGTAATACTAGACCTAATACAATTTAAACAGCTGATTTTACAGCAAAAATAAATTAGAAGTAAGTACATAAATATACTGGTAACTTGTATTTGGCTGGTAAAATTAATTTAGAGAATGTATTGTTTGTTCAATCTAAAATAAGTTTGATGCAGTTATATTCAATTCCAGTTACTAGATAATAAAATGCCTTTATTTAGCAAATTAGCTATAAAACAGTCGTAAAAAGTTCAACGCAAGTAAAGTCGAACTGAAATACAGATACTTTGCACAAATATCGCCATAAAAGAATCTGATTACGTGCGAAAATTACGGTATAAATCAGACTGTTTTTAAAAAGGTTTAAGATATTGCAATACTAAAATATTTTTGACTTTTTGTAACGCAGGTTTGTTAGATTATTAATTAAGCAGACGAATTTTTAAAACCTTTAGTAGGGTATTTTCCTTCAGCATATTTGTCTTAAAAAGACAGACGTCTGCTAATACAGATTGATGAAGAGATCTCTTATTTCCCAATAAAGAATTCTTTAGTGAACGGAATTAAGAACCAAAATACCCAGCAAAAAGTTTTCAAAACATGAATTTGAACCATACAGAACTTATTTTGGAAACGAAGTTTGCCCATTATCTTCTCAGGTGAAAAAAAAATTACGACAATTTATTGTCTGGAATTAAATTGTCTTTAATTTTGTCTATTAATATACAACATTACTATATATTTAAAAATGAGTTTCTATATTACTTTTACTTAGTAGTTGCAATGTGGTTTTCTATTGTTTTTTCAGCGTTTGTTCTCACTGTATCACAATCAGCGTAACAAAATAAAATTATTTCCCATTCAAACCAACGCTCGATCTCCGCTAATGACTTATATAGTTACTAATGGTGCACATTTAATTTTATATTTTAATGCATTTAACGGAAAAAAAATACATTTTAGATTTTAGAAGCTCAAATATTGATATTAAATGTGATAATACATTCGATGCCCCTAAAGGGTGCAAAATCGCTACTTGCCATAGAAACTTCGGAATAAATAAATTATTTTTTAAACATTACGGGACGCGTTTTTCGAAAAATTTATGATATTGATGAATACCAAAATTACCCAACAGTATTAAACATGCTGCGATCCACATTAAAAAAATATACATATTTACTTTCAGATATGTGAATTTTATACAAATATGGAAAACCACGTTTTAATTTCAACGCCATTCGCTCTGGTAAGAACATGACAAATATACGATTCAAATTAAATTTTAGTCAGCATTTACATTTTAGTTAGAATTTATACGAAAGACTGGAAGACTTTATTAATTTTTTAAATGCCACTTTGACCTCGTAAATATATCCGATTATTTATTAATTGCCTGTTTTTTTATCACCGCATTACATTATTAATTAAACATGGTAATTAAATGAATTGATAGAAAGTTACAAATGAATTAAATAAAACGAGAACTATTAACGGAAACCGGAAAAGTAATGGAATTGCCTCCATAGCCGTAGTTTGTTATTCGTTTTGTAGCCCGCACCAGTTCTAATCTTAATAATGAATTAGATTCGATTTTAAATTGAGCTTTAAAGTGTTACAAACCTATAATAAAAAATGTGCTTTCATCCTTCCATCCATATCTTGACGTGTGAGTTATTAGTGCAAAAATCAAGAACAATATTCTTGATTTTTTTTAAGTTTTTATATTTACTATTTATTTACTTCAAGCTTGTAACACCCTGTATAACAACAATTTTAACAACTCCACAGTGCCTATATGATTATCTTTAGAGTCTAAACCTGCTATCCACATTTCCCGTCTTTTTCATAATTCTATTATAATATTTTAATATCTAATAACTATTTTGTTCAGGCAATAGTCTCGATATATTGTGTGTTTTCGCGAAAGTAATTCGGAAGTAAAAGGAAGAACTGATCAGTGTGTGCGCTTTAGTTTTTCGAAGTTGTGGCTTTGCGGACTTGAGCAAGACAGAGTGAACACGCCTCGCCCAAGCAACTGGCTCACTTTATCACTCAGCTCTCCGTTTTAAATCGAAGTTGTATATAAATAATTCATTTTTGAACATATAATTTGATAGTCACTCATTGCCCAGTTTCTGCTTACTTGTTTTCTGTATATTTAAATATTTTATTTGAAAGTATGCTACTTTTTTATTCTGTGTACATGAGCTGTGGTGGCATGTCATTGATGAGTTGTCCGAATTTCAGCGGCGTTGCACGAGTGCACTAACGGCTGCGTATTCAGGAAAATATTTCAGATTTCACATATTTGATTACGGATTATTTGGAAATATCGTATAATTTTTAGGTTGAGCAGATGATACATTTCATAAATAATACCAGATTTACTACTAACTTTCAATTATATCGCTTTAAAAAGAATGATATTTCAACAATTATTCAGTGATACCAATCCGGTCTGGCAACCTGGCAATCGTCATTCATGTAATGATGTAAACATTTTACCACTCTACTTTACAAATTGGTGTTTTTGACGTGGCCGCAGAGAGAAATTGTTATTCTTGACTGAAACCTACTCAGCTTCAGTTCCAAATTAAGAAGAACTACAGCAAAATGTTGAAACAATTAGTCTTCGCCTGCCTATTTTTGGTTTTCCTTCCTGCATTGAGTTTAGCTTGTGTAAAGCCAGAAGTAACCTCAAAATCATTTACAACCCAAGATGCTACAATTGTTGCTCATATCGGCTTTATCTCGGAATTCCAAGTGAAATGTTCTTCGGGTGAAGTTTCCAGTCTGTATGCTGAATTAGAAGACAAAACAATTGTTCCTGTAGCTATTGTAGCACCAAACATCTACCAGGTAAGTTACCATAAGGACATAGTTTTGAAGTGTTCGTTTTACAGTATAGGCAGTGTTTGTGGGTGTTGTGACTTAATTTTTTGCATTAAATTAGCTACAAAGTTACCTTACGTGGCGCCACACTTCAGGCAATTAAATGGGCCTTTTATTAGAAGTTACTGTTGAGATAAATTGGGTGGCTGATTATAATCTTTTCCTTAGGTCAGTTGGACAGAAGACAGCAAAACCGCTGGGAAGGGTGAACATATCATTCGTATTTTTGATGAGGAGGGATATGCTGCTATCCGAAAAGCCCTGCGAGGTAACGAACCAACTTCTTCCGTGCCTGAATTCTTTAAAGTTTCCGTCTACCATCCAGGCGCTTACAATGGGCCTTGGTTGAGAAGTGAATTTTTGGCTGTAGTAGTGTCTTTACTGATATCATACTTTGCTATCACAGCCAAAGCAAAAATTGTGTCGTAAGAAAATGTAAATTATTATATTTATTTTGTTTTCATTTTGTTCCATTACATTACCGTATCATTTGAAGTTTTGTAGAAATTCTCTTGAAAATAAATGCTTCTGAGAAGTGTTTTCTCAATTTAATGGTTTTTATTTGTATAGTAATTGCTTGTATTTAAAGCATGCCGGGACATCTATTTTTTTTTTCAATAAACTAAGATAATACATATTTTATAACTGGTATTATTTGATCGATTACCAATCCTCGGCCCGTAAGTCTTTAGGTTGAAATACACTTTGCACATCAAGCTCGTTTTGTTTCAGTTCAGTGCTTCTTCTGTTTCAATAAAATATTTTTTTATCATTGAATCCAGCTCCTTTTGTAATTCAACCGCTTTTATTATTATTACTGTCTTGGTACCAAAACTAGGAGAACTTATTGTTTGTTCAGTGGAAACCACCGATTTTTTTTAGGAGTTGATACACTGTCTTTGAACATTTTGTGCTCTTTGTAAAATCTTCTGGCACTTGTATTTTTGGGGATTTTTTTTTTCTGTTTCCTTGTCATTTAACAATTCTAGACAATCAATCAATTTTGTAAATTAGCAGAAAATATTTGGTTCTTCGGATATTGATCGTCACAGCTCTTGAAAAATAGTTTTTTTTGTGAAATATCGGGATCACGATACGTGAACAATTATTTGGTAATAAACCTTTTATTTTTTAGAACCTTTTATTTGGTAAATGGAAGTAATTTTTTTGTTGGTTGAAATTGTTAATAGCAAGAAAACAAATTATTTTTATGAGCAAAAACTATGTATATTATAAGATTTTACAAAGAGGACAAAATTGTCGAAAAGAGAATAGCGCATCAATTAAAAAAAAATAGTTGATTCAGGTACCAAATAAAAAGTTCAGATACTTTTTGTAGCAAAATGCTTCAGAATTTGCCACTTTCCTAAGGCGAATGAACTCGATTGCTTCATAAAAATACGAGTCTATAACAGCAAATTCAGAGCGAATTTCATTTAATCGTTCCACACATCATTCTCCTGATATTAAAAAAATCGTATTTTTAAACACCTTTGACCATTTTTTCTAATAAAAGTTGGATTAGATTGTCTCCTTTAGAGCCAAAGAATGTCGCAGTACTCTTTTGAAAATGTTATTTTTATAACGAGTAAAGTTTCAATTAAAAGTAGTAACTCACTCACTAAAAACATTTGTAACAGAAGTAGGTATTAAATTGAATGAAAAGTCCATAAATCTCGAATTTCTCAATTCTCTCACATTTGACAATATTTTTAATTTATTCTTTCTCATATCAATTAATCACTTAATAAAACTACTGTTGTTTTTATAGTACTTTATAGTTTATTTTATATTCAAAAGTTTCATAAACTATTGTAGTTAGCAAAGTTTTCAAAACTTATCCTTTTCTCTTTGTGTGTCGTCTAATTTTGAAATCGTTAAAAGCGTACCACGACATAAAAAAGGTTGAGAATAATTCCTGTATTGTGCTTTATACACATCTCATTGTCAAGATTACGTTGATATATTAAGTTGGTGCGTTCAAGACGGTTTTGCTAAACTTTGCTGAAAATTATCCGAATATGATACCTTTTTATATTACATATGTTTCCTTTACACTCTACTTACATTTAGAAGTAATTGATTATTGTTCTCACCTGATTTGAATATGGCTTTTTTTCGCTTAACATTAGTCTATCTGTTCCTTCACCATCTCATGAAGGACTGAATAGTATTGACCGAATTGTCCAACGGTTTAGATCTGGTTTCAAATCTACTTGACTTTTGATTTTCAGAAAATACGCTTAAATAGTTGCGTAACTAGCCGTAGACGTACATATTTGGCATATATTCCTGCATCTCAATTTCAAAGGCAATATTTATATAATAGTGCATGTAGCATTAGTGAACATTATAATGGAAAAGTGGGGCATTCATTTTTATTTTTTTTATTATTTTTGCTTCCGAGCCCTGTTTTAAACCCAAAACGGCATTTTACGTATTGTCCTTTAAAAAAAGTTGCATCTTAGTAATCGTAAGTAGTTGTTGAGCACATTGGCTAAATTAAAAAATTGACGTTTTCTTTGTACTGTGACCTCTTGTGAGTACCTTGAATACTTATATCATACAAGGCATACAGTGGCGGCAAAAGTTTGCCTATAAACACCAGAAAGCATTTTGACTAGATTAATTATATTTATCAATAATTTTTGATTTATTTAATAATATTTTATTTTGCATACCAATCCTACCAATAACGACTGTTTATCGACAAATGTTAAATTTTGTTAACAAAAATCAAAGTGAATTAAAATTCAACCAACGCGTATTAAGTTTACGTACATCGTCTTTGTTTTATCAACAAATGAAATATGTTGCTAGGTATCTACGGATGGAATTATGTTTATAGTATGCACGATTATAAACCAATGTGCCTTGATCAATTTATTTATTAAATTACCTTTAATAAATAATAATAACTAGTTTTGATAGATTAAATGCTAAAAAATACGCAGATTGCCTTTGCGCTATCCGAATTTAGCAAATTAAGGAAAATATGAAAAGCTAAAAAGAAGCGGAACAATAATAATAAAGCGGTAATTTAAAAAATATGTTAAAAAAGGGGATCTGCTAGAAAACATCGAGATGTTGATGTCCAAAATCATAAAGTTCCAGAGAACAAAGATACGGTTTGAGGATAATTAAAGAAATATTTAAACTAGCTGCACCTCACTTGGTTACAAGTATGGAAAACTTTGGTTAAACAGTTGGATATGAAATCCCTAAAATCTTACAACATGCTAAAGTTTCTCGAAACGCGTCTTTAAGGAAACTAAACTTTACAAATTCGACTTAGATGGTTGAAATACCCTATTTATATATTTTTTTGTTCTATCACCATTAAATTTTAACAAGAAAGTTCTATTTGTATATAAGTATAATTTTGGATGTTCTTTGGCGATGGGATAGTTTTAAATGTAGGACATCCGTCAAATGCTCTGAAAAATGTAGATCTGAGTGGTTCAGGAGAAATTTTAAATGCTGGAGAGTGAGCGCTTTACGTAGAATTTATTATCTTGACGCAAATCTTGTTGGATTCACTTTTCCAGAAAGTCTGAATTTTCTTTTTCAGATACAATTAGTAAACTTAAATTTCCCAACGTTTTTCCATTTTGCCCCCGTGTTTTAGACTACCTTAAATGTTTCCGCATTTTCTTTTCCCCATATGAAATATATTCTGATTCTGATCCTCAATTTTAGAATTTATTATCTGTTTATAAATGACTTATTAGTATGCATATTTCCCGCGAAAGTTTTGTTCTGATGCAATTTGACAAAACAATATTTATGTGTATCGTTATTCAAAAGAAAGGTAGTTGTCCGTTTGAAAATCTGTTAAAACAACACTTCAAATATTCGTATGGTTTGTAACCAATTAATCTTGATCTTGAGTGGGTCTATTTTGATGTCGCTGATTTCTTCCTATAATAAAAAATGGTCGGTGGCATTGTAAAAATTCGTTAGTCTCGTGAATTAGATTTTCAATGTCCAAAAATCGGACTGGATTGGAAATCTGGTTCAGAAGCTTCAGAAACCTAATTCATTTCAGATTAATAACAAAAGCTTTATTGTCAGTGTTGCTGTTGGTAAATACGGATATTTTTATCATTAGCAAAAAGCGTATGCTTCACTTGGTAGCATTGTTTATTCTGCATTAAACGGGGCATTGGATGCAACTGATGGATTTCCTTGAACATTTTTAATTTTAATTATTTTCAATTTTTTGAAACGTTTCAGTGAAATCAGCTTTCAACTAGGTACTTTTGCGGCGATACAACATTTTAACCATCGAGAGTCACAACTAACATTAACTGTTTTAGCTTCTGTTTTTCGTCTTAATATGTTTTTTTCTTTTCGGTACACATTCTATACCCGTTGTTTTAAGCTACGTTTCGAACAGTTTTATCCACGTTGGGTGCATTTAGTTTGCAATTTTTCTGGCTTATCTGGAAAACGCTTTCTCCTCCGATTTGACTTGAAGATATTGAGCATCAAGAGCTCGCTGTTACTCACAGGTTCTTATTTTCCCATTTATTTTTTTCATACGATTTTAATTAACGAAGCTTGGCGATTACTTCTTTAAACTTTGCCATTTTTTTGACTTCTCAACCAAGATTTATTTTTATTTCGATTCTCTCCTGTATTATTGCATGTAACACCAAACATTTGTTATACTGTTTTTTGTACTTTAATGATCGTCATCGGTTTTAATAGTGTTCAATGCGTGTCGACGCTTCTTCATTTGTGATTGCGACAGTACATGTACGCGGCTGTAGAAGCACATACACTTGCCACCAATTTTTCTATGGATTACGATTGCAATTTTCAAATTTCTACCCGTATAACAGTTGAAACCATATATGGCAGTCTAAGAACGAAGATGATGGAAAACCGCATTTCCGTAATTATATTTGTCAACTATTTCTGAATTTTTTGCTTTCTAGGAAAAGTTATCTGTAGTCGAGAGAATGTTTTGAGTTGTTAGTTGTTGGGCCCATGTTTTTCTGTTTTTGTTAATTCTATCTGAAAGGTTTTCTGGGTCTTCTATGTTGTCTGTTATTATTGCGGTATCGTTTGCAAATGTTACAAATGACCTTTCCCATTTCTCTTACTCGCTTTCGTATGTTTCTTAACTTAATGATAAATTTTCTCAATTATAAAGCAAACTGATTAATTTTAGAACTTTTCGCGAGGCATTGGTTAACAATCGCATCTCATTTGCTGCATATAAACAAAATGCGATCTCTAGTTATTCCGAGACTTATTTATTAAAAAATGAGTGAACTATGTAGATTAACTTTTTGTAGCTAAAGTGTTCCATTTTGGACAAATAGCTGTATTTGCATAACTATGTTTCTAGTTAATTAGTTCCACTGTACCTATATATTTTTTCGTACCAGCCAGTTAATAATGCAAACATGCTAATAGCTTCGATTTGTTTCATAGAGCTGGGTGAAATAATGATAGTATTTAATCTTCAGGAGGAACAAAGGCAGTTAACTTGTTTTTGTCATTTCAAAACATTCAACAAAGTTCCACTTTATTTTCCGGGACGGGTTAGGTCGTTTGTACTAATTCGGTACACGAGAATGTCTACGTTACTTGCAGTAGCTGTCTATATTATGTTTAATGACTTAC